ATTAACCCTCCGTACACTTTTCCGGTATACTCAGTAACTTATTTCCTCATAAATTTTACAGTCGTCTTTTGTCCCTTTTCCCTTATTAAAGGGCTATACATGCTCTCGCCAATTTTATCCTCTTATACAGTTATGACAAAATACCAACACATAAATAACCCCGTTTTAAGAGAATCATACCAGCTGGCTACCCCTTTATTTTAACGTAATCTCATACCCCACACTACATCTATTTTTCTACAAAAGATGGTAGATACATTGATCCAGTACATGAACATTACGCACATATGTTTTAAAAACAACTAATCCTTAACATATATCAAAAGCATAAAAATAATTCTCGACGATAATACTCATTCAACATCTATATCTATTTATATTTAAATGACAAATCCATAGTTTCTTGTCTGTATTTAAGTAGGGTTTAAATCATATAAAATTTTTCATTATTTTCATATAAAATTTTTGAATGCAAATTTCCCATCTATCAAAATCTCTCTCATATGAAACTAACCTCCCAATCGCTTTACTTTCAAATTCCGATAATTAGTATATGACTTATTATAAATGCTTAAAAACACTCGATAAATAATGATTTAAAAACATCTATAACTTATCTTATCCAAATCATCAAAACTGCACCACCTTTATCAACTATTAAAATTCCAATTCAAAAGAATAGTAAGATTTTTAAAAATAATGTAACAAACCTCTAACCCCCATTTCAAATGCTAAACCATATTATTCTAAAATATGTTAATAAATACCTGATATTTAGTTTAACACTTTCATCTCTATGTAATAAGTCTATGCCACTCTTCCTTAATATTACCATCTACCTTTACTTAATGGAGAAACTAATATGCCGATATACTTGACTCCTATAAACTGTCATGGACCAGTAGGCCTCAACATTATCCACAATTACATATTAATATTTATTCCTTATAATAATACCTTGAATTTATTTATCCTCATTTTTCATAAATATGTATTACTTTTACGCAAATTATTGTTAATTAGAATTAACTCTTTACATTACCCTGACACAAATTTACTAATTTCCTCATAACATTTTTACCATATTTAGTATGAAATTCCAACACATTACTTCACAATTGATTCTAAATCCCAATTATAAATATTCAAATTATGTCCTTACATTTCTAGTTCTCATTGCATACATGCTTATTATAACAATTTCACAATCAATTTCATTTTATCCACAAATTAATTAATACATTTATAGTCTCTTTCTATAGATTTAACATTATTGCATCTTCTATAGTCTAATATGAAATGAATTAAATTCCTTTTATTTCTATTGAAATCACCCAACTTAGTTCTTGTAATTCACTTAAAACTTGAATCCACTTTTTTCATTATAATATTTCACAATCTCTTTCCTATCAATTCTACAATAGCAATCAATACTTTGATATAATTTTTTTTATAAAACTTATCTTTTTAGTAATTCTTTACAGGAAAAAGGGGAATAAGCACCAAGTTCCACAGTAATTTATTCTTTTTATCAAAATCTTACTGAAAAATTCTACCATTTCCCCATGATATAAAAGGAAATCTAATAAGACTCAGAACTATATGATAAAATCAAAGAAAACAGATGATTGTTGAATAATGGTATATTATGTAGTATGCATTAAGTAATAAATGTACATATATGAAATTAGCATATTATATAACAGAAAAAGACATCAGCAATCCTAATTATGAAACAAAAGTACACATGTTTAATCACTTGGCATGTAACGGTAGTACCTCCCTGGGTGGACAGTATGAGACAACGAACTGAAAGTGGCTGTTTAGTGACTAGGGAGTTAGTAGCTCGGGAGATATCATGGAGTCAGGTTGAAGCTAAGTAACTTTGCACTTTTTTTTTTAGGTTAAAAATGTGAGGCCCTAGGGTGGTTTATTTTTAAATAATTTTATATTTACCCCTAGAGAGGTATTTTACCCCCCTAGGCTCCACCTATACTTTGTAACACTGCAAGATTTTTTTTTTTTTAAACAAGTCAGCTGTCTCCCACCGAGGCAGGGTGACCCAAAAAAGAAAGAAAATCCCCAAAAAGAAAATACTTTCATCATCATTCAACACTTTCACCTCACTCACACATAATCACTGTTTTTGCAGAGGTGCTCAGAACACAACACCTTAGAAGCATATACCTATAAAGATACACAAACATATCCCTCCAAACTGCTAATATCCCAATCCCCTCCTTTAGAGTGCAGTCACTGTACTTCCCATTTCCAGGACTCAAGTCCGGCTATATAAAAATAACTGGTTTCCCTGAATCCCTTCACTAAATATTATCCTGCTCACACTCCAACAGCTCGTCAGGTCCCAAATACCATTTGTCTCCATTCACTCTTATCTAACAAGCTTATGCTTGCTGCTGGAAGTCCAAGCCCCTCGCCCACAAAACCTCCCTTACCCCCTCCCTCCAACCTTTTCAAGGACGACCCCTACCCCGTCTTCTTTCTCCTACAGATTTATACACTCTCCATGTCATTCTACTTTGATCCATTCTCTCTAAATGACCAAACCACCTCAACAACCCTTCTTCAGCCCTCTGACTAATACTTTTATTAACTCCACATCTTCTCCTAATTTCAACACTCCGAATTTTCTGCATAATATTACACCTCACATTGCCCTTAGACAGGACATCTCCACTGCCTCCAACCGCCTCCTCGCTGCAGCATTTACAACCCAAGCTTCACACCCATATAAGAAGTGATGGTACTACTGTACTTTCATACATTCCCTTCTTTGCCTCCATAGATAACTTTTTTTGTCTCCACATATACCTCAATGCACCACTCACACTTTTTTTTCCCTCATCAATTCTATGATTAACCCATCCTTCATAATCCATCCGCTGACACGTCAACTCCCAAGTATTTGAAAACATTCACTTCTTCCATACTCCTCCCCAATTTGATATCCAATTTTTCTTTATCTAAATCATTTGATACTCTCATCACCTTACTCTTTTCTATGTTCACTTTCAACTTTCTACCTTTACATACACTCCCAAATTCATCCACTAACCTTTGCAGTTTTTCTTTAGAATCTCCAATGAGCACAGCATCATCAGCAAAAAGCAATTGTGTCAATTCCCATTTTGTATTTCATTTCCTATGATTTAATCCCACCTCTTTCCTGAACACCCTAGCATTTACTTCTTTTACAACCCCATCTATAAATATATTAAACAACCATGGGTGACATTACACATCCCTGTCTAAGACCTACTTTTACTGGGAAGTAGTCTCCCTCTTTTCTGCACACCCTATCCTGAGCCTCACTATCCTCATAAAAACTCTTTACAGCATTTAGTAACTTACCACCTATTCCATATACTTGCAACATCTGCCACATTGCTCCCCTATCCACTCTATCATATGACTTTTCTAAATCCATAAATGCAATAAAAACTTCCCTACCTTTATCTAAATACTCTTCACATATATGCCTCAATGTAAACACTTGATCTACACATCCCCTACCCACTCTGAAACCTCCTTGCTCATCCACAATGCTACATTCTGTCTTACCTCTAATTCTTTCAATTATAACCCTACCGTACATTTTTCCTGGTATACTCAGTAAACTTATTCCTCTATAATTTTTACAATCTCTTTTGTCCCCTTTCCCTTTATATAAAGGGACTATACATGCTCTCTGCCAATCCCTAGGTACCTTCCCCTCTTTCATACATTTATTAAACAAAAATACCAACCACTCCAACATTACCTAACAGAATACTCCATTCTATTGAATGCACAGCAACACAGTAAATGATCATATGACCTGTCTTTGTAATACTCATTTGTGCTAAATTGTTATCTGTTTACAATAATGTTTTTACCACTGAATATATCATTGCTTAGTTAATCTTAAGTTAATTTTAAACCTGCCCATAATGCTTTGCATACAAGGGGCTTTGGCATGTTGCACTTTAATAACTGTATTCCTTTGTACTTCCCTATATCATGTTCAAATTAATAAATAAATAAATAAATAAATGAATAAATAAATATCCCCCCTGCTTTTAACATTTCTGTCATGATCCCATCAGTTCCAGCTGCTTTACCCCCTTTCATTTTAAGTAATGCCTCACGCACCTCCCCGCACTCACATCCTGCTCTTCTTCACTCCTAAAAGATGGTATACCTCCCTGGCCAGTGCATGAAATTACCGCTTCCCTTTCTTCGTCAACATTTAAAAGTTCCTCAAAATATTCTCGCCATCTACCCAAAACTTCCATCTCCCCATCTACTAACTCCCCTACTCTGTTTTTAACTGACAAATCCATTCGTTCTCTAGGCTTTCTTAACTTGTTTAACTCACTCTAAAAATTTTTCTTATTTTCATTAAAATTTCTTGACAGTGCTTCTCCCACTCTATCATCTGCTCTCCTTTTGCACTCTCTCACCACTCTCTTCACCTTTCTTTTACTCTCCATATACTCTACTCTTCTTATAACACTTCTGCTTTGTAAAAACCTCTCATAAGCTAACTTTTTCTCTTTTATCACACCCTTTACTTCATCATTCCGCCAATCACTCCTCATTCCTCCTGCACCCACTCTCCTATAACCACAAACTTCTGCCCCACATTCTAATGCAAGGTATGTTTATTTAATAATTACACACAAACTACATTTGCTGTGTGCCATTTTAAATACTGAATTACAAATTCTTAAATTAACAACCTGATAGACTAAATATGACTTATTTTTTACTCATTTTCACAGTGCAGTGGGTCTTATTATGACATGGCTCAATATGCTGCTGTTAGCAGTATAGTAATTACATGCAGAAGCATATTTAAATTATGTTTATCAAGTATACTGCTATTAAAATCTACCACACTGATATGAGAGATGAAATGTAATATCTGTAAAACAAAGTAATTACGAAATTCTTAAAGTCTACAGATCCTTTCTAAGATATTTAACATATAATCTAACCTCAAGCGTAGGTCCAAGAAGATCTCCAACTGCAGAAACCCAACCTCGAGCAGAGTCCTGAATTATTTCGGTTGGTGTTTCAATGTTCCATTTTTCTAAAGAGTCAACATTTTCCTCAATATCTGAAATATCCAACGAATGTTATCATACAGTGCATTAAGGCACAGAAATAAGTTCCGAGTATAATGCTTTCAGCCTATATACGTATAGTTAATCACGAAAAGGTAATCTGGAAATGAAAAATAGCAGCAAAAGCCTCACAGTTAACATACAGAATATAGATTTATCTGAATGAAAGAAAACAAGTGAGTAGTGAGGCAGTGTTACTAATGGAGGTCGACCTTACAGGGTTTCTGCTCAATAACTTTATATGTAATGGGTGACAAAAATTCATATTTTTCACTATGCATGTGGTACATATTAGATAGAGAAAATGATTAAATTATGAGCATAACTGTTATAGCATGGTGCCACCTGGACACTCACTTAGGATCATCTGTTGTATGTAGACTTGCACACAAGTTGATAAATACAACGTCATTTCTTGAAGAAAACGAGAACGACCTTTTAAACTTTCTGATTCTATGAAGTGATGAAGAACATCAACTATCTCCACGTATTGCAACCACAGACATCAGTTACAGTGAACATATATTACAATCTTTTCATCACCCAGTTTGTGTTGCTCCATTCCCCAATGAAGACCTCTTGAAATCACCGTCGATCTACTTCATTTTTTTTTTTACATGAACCATAAATTCCTCTCGCAAATTGTACATAGGCACAGACGAAGCACTGCTGGAGGTCTTCTGGTCCATGTAGGGCAATGTGTATTAGATAGCCTGAATTCCTGATGACAATTGATTCTTTGACAAAGAACACAATCCTTATTTTTGGAAAATTATTTTGACCCTTAAATTTTGAAGTACGTTCTGGACCATAAAACTGTCCAGTTTACGGATGCCAGAACTTAAATTCCAGATGTGTTCTACATCATGATCATTAAACGACGATTCTGTGATATTTCACTAGAAAATTAAGATTTATATGGGAATAATTGTTTGGAGGTAGTCCAAAATTAGTAAATTGTTACCTGCAAGGGAGGATTATCAATAGACCCCTGGATGTCTTTAAGAGGGAGCTGGACAGGCACCTAAAGTCAGTACCTGACCAATCGGGCTGTGGTTTGCGTGCGGCCGGCAATAACAACCTGGATGATGAGACCCTGATGCACCACGACGACTGGTCATGGACCAGGCTGCGGGGGCCTCGACCCTCAAAACACCCTCTAGGTATACACTGATAAATATTAAGCCTACCCCTACACAAGAAAAATTAGTCCTCTCTCTCTCTCTCTGCTCCCTGAGGTTTGTCATACCTCGTCTTAAAGCTATGTAAGGTTCCTTCCTCCACTACATCACTTGCTAGGCTATTCCACTTCCTGACGACTCTATGACTGAAGAAATACTTCCAAACATCCCTGTGACTCATCTGAGTCTTCAGCTTCCAATTATGATCCCTTGTTTTTGTGTCCCCTCTCTGGAACATCCTGTCTCTGTCCACCTTATCTATTCCACGTAGTATTTTGAATGTCATCATCATGTCTTCCGTGACTCTCCTGTCCTCCAGTGTCGTCAGGCTGATTTTCCTCAACCTTTCTTCGTAGGACATTCCCGAGCTCCGGAACTAGCCTTGTTGCAAACCTTTGTACTTTCTCTAATTTTCTGACATACAGGTGTGGGTTCCAAACTGGTGCTTCATTCATTCGAGATTAAACTGGTGCTGCATACTCCATTATGGGCCAGACGTACACAGTGTACAGTGCCTTGAACGATTCCTTGCTAAGGTATCGGAATGTTATTCTCAGGTTTGCCAGGTGCCCATATGCTGCAGCAGTTATCTGGTTGATGTGTGCCTCCAGAGACATGCTCGGTGTTATGATCACCCATAGATCTTTCTCCTTGAGTGAGGTTTGCAGTCTCTGTCCACCTAGCCTATACTGTCTGCGGTCTTCTTTGCCCTTCCCCAATCTTCATGACTTTGCATTTGGCGGGGTTGAATTCGAGAAGCCAGTTGCAGGACCATGTGTCCACCCTGTCCAGGTCTCTTTGTAGTCCTGCCTGATCCTTAATCTGATTTAATTCTCCTAATTAACTTCACATCATCTGCAAACAGGGACCCTTCAGAGTCTATCCCTTCCATCATGTCATTCACATATACCAAAAACAGCACTGGTCCTAAGACTGACCCCTGTGGGACCCCGTTCGTCACAGGCGCCCACTGTGATACCTCATCACGTACCATGACTCATTGTTGTCTTCCTGTCAGGTATTCTCTGATCCATTGCAGTGCCCTTCCTGTTATATGTGCCTGATCCTCCAGTTTCTGCACTAATCTCTTGCGAGGAACTTGCACTAATCTCTTGCGAGGAACTGTGTCGAAGGCCTTCCTGCAGTCCAGGAAAATGCAATCAACTCACCCCTCTCTCCCATGTCTTACTTCTGTTACTTTGTCATAAAACTCTAGAAGGTTTGTGACACAGGATTTGCCTTCCCTGAATCCATGCTGATTGTCATTTATGAATTGGTCCTGTTCTAGGTGCTCCACCACTCTCCTCCTGATAATCTTCTCCATGACTTTGCATGCTATAAACGTCAGTGACACTGGTCTATAGTTTAGTACCTCATTTCTGTCTCCTTTCTTAAAAATGGTGATTACATATATTTGGGGGGGGGGGATGGTTTGAGGTAGCCTGTTACCTGTCACTTCCCATTTACAAGTTTAAATACAGGAGACACAAACTCTACTTACCCTTAGAACAAATATATTTGGTCCAAGTCTTCTCTCTTGGGAAGCCCTCCACATGTACAGTGATGGGTTTCACTATGTGATCACTATAAAGAAAATATTATTTAAGGTAAAAATTATGTAATAGTAAAAGTGCATGAGATTCTAAACTGACAGCAAAATCCCTTTAGACTCATAGCAAAGTTATCAATGATTTTGGAAAAATGTTAAGACTTTGTTGCATACTCTTTTTCTTGGGTGTTGATTACCTTCTAGAACAGAAACTATGCTTGAGTTGCACTATCTTCAGATAGTGATAGTTTATAATGTCTTGTGAGTGTAGTACTACTTGTAATTAATTCCATTTTTCCTTTTTTTTGGTTAGGTCACAAGGTCGATGGTAAAGATCAAATCAAATCAAATCTAAACAAGTTTATTCTCTATAAGGATTACAGTGCTGAGTTTACAGAATTTGGATATTGTGTGGTTTACATGTTTCAAAATACTACTTACAGAGGGGGCCACTAGAACACCTAGCATGGCTAGGCATTTCGGGCAGACTTAGATTAATTCTTAACTTTAAAAATATTACAAATTATGAGGTAAGTTGGTATTATGGCTAAGTGACTTAAATACTAGTTTGTGAGTTTAGCAATGTGAATGCTTTTGTTTTCACACAATACATAGTTTCAGTATTGGAGTATCACAGGCCATCTTATGACTAGTTAGGATTCATTATTTTAAGATTAAGATTGATATTTCTGTGTTTATGGTCAAGTGGGTGAGTGAGTGCAAGTGTGAACCACCAGGTGGTATTCATGTAATTAGTTGATGGGGTGTATCAGGGAGATAAGATTTTTTCTAATGGTAGTTTTGAAGGTGATGAAAGTGTCTGCAGTTCTAGAGTTTTCAGGTAGGGTGCTCCAGATTTTAGGGCCTTTGACATACATTGAATTTTTGTAAAGGTTTAGTCAGACATGGGGAATGTCATAGAGATGTTTGTGTCTGGTGTTATGCCTGTGGGTTCTGTTACAACTATCAAGAAAGCGTTTTAGGTCAAGGTTAATATTGGAACTTAAGGTCCTTTAGATGTAGATTGCATAGTAGTAAGTGTGGATGTACTGAACAGGGAGTAAGTTTAGATCTATGAAGACTGGGTGGGGAGGAACAGGGTCAAAGTAGGACAGATCAATGAGAAAAAACGTTGCAGGTAAACAGGAGAAAAGAGGTAAGAAAGATTATGTGACCTAACAAGCCTGAGTGGGTTTTAAAGGAACAAATTCCCATTATCCTACTACTTTGCAAAAAAAAAATTTCATGTATCCTATCTGCACTACTTCTTTCTTACAACTCAACAACCTACTACTGGTGTTTACATACTCTCATGTGGTCACTGTGAAAAGAAATAATTAGGAGAGACAGGCTGGAATTGTCCACTACAGTTAATGAATACAAACATGCATGCAAAAGGGGATGATCTCAGTGACACATGAATACTTCACAGGAATGCAGAGGGACATTTGATGGATTGAACCAAAGCACAGATGATCTTCATTGCACTTAATCTGTACAGTCATTCTTATTTGGAATCCTTCCTTATTGATATAACATACACATTTACACAAAAAGTTGAAAATTGTATTAATAGCAAATCGCTTGCACATCTACAGTAGCCCTCCTACCACCTGACAGCAGTCAGGTGACATGCTGCCAGACGTCACTTCCTCTCAGTTGAATTCCCTAACTATATGTGTTTTTTATGAGTTCAGCCTATTCGGCAAGTTCAGCTTATTAGGTACATGTATATATAATATATACTATATATATATAATATATATATATATATATATATATATATATATATATATATATATATATAATATATATATATATATATATAATATATAAATATATATATATAAAATAAATATATATATATATATATATATATATATATAATATATATATAATATATATATATATAATATATATAATATATATATATATATAATATAATGTATATATTTATTTTTATTTTTTTTTATTATCACACTGGCCGATTCCCACCAAGGCAGGGTGGCCCGAAAAAGAAAAAACTTCACCATCATTCACATCCATCACTGTCTTGCCAGAAGTGTGGCTTTACACAACAGTTTTTAAACTGCAACATTAACACCCACTCCTTCAGAGTGCAGGCACAGACGTACTTCCCCATCTCCAGGACTCAAGTCCGGCCTGCCGGTTTCCCCTGAACCCCTTCATAAATGTTACTTTTGCTCACACTCCAACAGCACGTCAAGTATTAAAAAACCATTTGTCCTCCAGTCCACTCCTATCAAACAACGCTCCATGCAATACCTGCTGGGAAGTCCATAGCCCCTCGCACACAAAACCTGTCACTTTTACCGCCCTCAGTTCCAATCTTTTTCCTATGCCGATCCCCTAAACCCGCCTTCCTTCACTACAACTGATAACACTCTTGAAGTCAAATCTGTTTCGCTCCATTCTCTCTACAATTCCCGAAACCACCTCACCAACCCTTCCTCCACCCTCTGGACAACATTTACGGTAATCCCCCCCCGCACCTCCTCCCTAACTTCCAAACTACGAATTCCTGCATTATATGTCACACCATCAGACATGACATCTCCACAGCCTCACCTCTTCGCTCGCTGCAACATTCATCAACCCACGCTTACTACCTATAAGAGCGTTGGTAAAACTATACTCTCATACATCCCTTCTTTGCCTCCAAGGACAAAGTTCTTTGACTCAAAGACTCCAGTGGACCCCCGGTTAACGAATAATTTTTTCACTCCAGAAATATGTTCAGGTGCCAGTTCTTGACCGAATTTGTTCCCAATAAGAATATAGTGACGTTGATTTAGTCCATTTCAGACCCCCAAACATACACGTACAAACGCACTTACATAAATACCACTTACATAATTGGTCGCATTCGGAGGTGATCGTTATGGTGATGCGATGGGTCCACTGTATATATATATTTATATACATATATATATATATATATATGGGAGAGGTGGGTAGGTATATATATATAATATATATTTATACATATAATAATATATATATATATATATAATTTTTTATTAGTATCACACCGGCCGATTCCCACCAAGGGCAGGGTGGACCCGAAAAAGAAAAACTTTCACCATCATTCACCTCCATCACTGTCTTGCCAGAAGGGTGTTTACACTACAGTTTTTAAACTGCAACATTAACAAACCCCCTCCTCAGATGCAGGCACTGTACTTCCCATCTCTCAGGACTCAAGTCCGGCCTGCCGGTATTCCCTGAATCCCTTCATAAATGTACTTTGGCTCACACCTCCAACAGCACTCAATATTAAAAACCATTTGCTCCATTACTCCTATCAAACACGCTCACGCATGCCTGCTGGAAAGTCCAATGCCCCCTCGCACTACAAAACCGTCCTTTAACCCCCTCCCCTCCCTCCAACCTTCCTAAGGCCGACCCCTACCCCCCGATCCTTCCTCCACTACCAGACTGAATACACTCTTGAAGTCATCTGTTTTTCGCATCCATTTCTCTCTACATGTCCGAACCACCTCAACAACCCTTCCTCAGCCTCTGACGATACAGTTTTGTTTGGTAATACCCCCGCATACCTCCCCTAACTTCCCACTACGAATTCTCAGCATTAATTTCACACCACACATTGCCTCAGACCATGACATCTCCACTGCCTCCAGCCCTTCCTCCTCGCTGCAACATTCATCACCCTCCTTCACACCCAATAAGACGTTGGTAAAACTAACTCTCATACATTCCCCGCTTTGCCTCCAAGGACAAAGTTACTTTGTCCCACAGACTCCAAAGTGCACCACTCACTCTTTTTCCCTCATCAATTCCCTAATGATTCACCTCATCTTTCCATAGACCCATCCGCTGACCCTCCACTCCCAAATATCTTAATACGTTCACCGCTACTCCATACTCTTCTCCTCCATCTGATATTCAATCTTTCATCACCTAACTTTTTTTGTTATCCTTCATAAACGTACTCTTTCCTGTATTCACCTTTAATTTTTTCTCTTTGTCACACCCTACCAAATTCATCCCCCACTCTGCAACTTCTCTTTCAGAATCTCCCAAGAGCACATGTCAATCAGCAAAAGCAGCTGTGGACAACTCCCACTTTGGAGGGTGTGATCTTTATCTTATATATAGATATATATATATATATATATAACCAATATATATATATATATATATAATATATATATAGTATAGTTATATTATATATATATCTATATATATATCTATATATATATAAAGTAATATACATATATATATATATAATATATATATATATATAATATATATATATATATATTATATATATATAATTATATATATATATTGTATATATATATATATATATATTATATATATATATATATATATATAATTATATATATATATAATATATATAATATATATATAAATATATATATAATATAGTATATATATATAATATAATATATTATATATATTGGCGGTTTGGAGGGAATATGTTTGTATCTCTATAACGTATATGTTCCTAAAACTGTTTGTATCTGACACTCTCTGCAAAAAGCAGTGATAATGTGGTGAGTTGTGGTGAAAAGTGTTGAATGATGATGAAAGTAATTTTCTTTTTAGGGATTTTCTTTCTTTTTTTTTTTTTTGGTCACCCTGCCTCGTGGGAGACGGGCCGACCTTTTGAAAATAATATATATATATATATATATATATATATATATAATAATATATATCTATACATACACATGTAGTTACATATATAAATATATATATATATATTATATATATATATAATATATATAAATATATATTATATATATATATATATAGTAAATATATATAATATATATATATATATTATATATCATAAATATATATACTATATAAAAATTTCCCATAAAAGTAGGCTTAGAAAAGGAAATGTGTGATGTCACCGTGTTGTTTAATATATTTATAGATGGGGTTTGTAAGAGGAAGTAAATGCGAGGGACTTGGCAAGAGTTGTGAGTTAAAAGATAAAGAATCATACTAAAGTGGG